CTCACTGTTAAAAGGCAGCTGCTACAGCTCCTTGCCACAGCGACCGGGCTTGAAATTCAAAGAATTTGTGGACATGTCTTATTTCTGGCAAAAGGGTCAGACAAGGGTCTAAGGTGGTCCATACCACTGGCTTTTCTGTAAAGGGAATACTGGCTTTATAATAAACATAGGATTTGCTGTCGTCTGAGTGTGCTTGTAAATTTGAATAAAAAGTAAAACATGCATGAATCCATGGGAGAGGACCATGTAACTAACACCCACTGTGATTGCAGACATAAAATGCTGTGGTTTTGCTTTATTTAGAGAACAAGCTTGTCAGCAGAGACCCCTTTGTGATGCAGCAGCAGCACCAACAGCACCAACAGATGGGAGTTTGAAATCAACTGAAAAACCCATTAGGCTTTCCTAGGAGATGTGATTTCTTTTTAATATTTTTAACACTTCCCCTCAAAATTACAAAAATCGGACTGATTTTTATTCCAGTTTGCAGGTTCTCCAGGCAGAGGACTTTGTCTACAAGAATTGAGAACCACGGCAGCCTCTCCCTGGCTCACGGAGTGAGGCTGTGACAGAGGATGGCAGGAGCTATTCTGAGCTCAGAAGTCCTCCCTAATGTCACTTCCATTCAGGCACGCATTTCTCTTTTCTGTTGCACTAGCTGCTATTCCCTTTTACAAAGAAAGATCTCAGCTGGGTTTTCTGTAGCAGAGCTTGCTCTGCTCGAGCCCTGTATGCCAGGAGTCCCCTGGTTTTTAGGTGCTGTTTTACAGATGTTCAAGTGGCTGCTGTAAAGACCAGAGGGACAGCCTGGCACCGCGCTAATCCATCAAAATATGGATTTTTCCATATGGGTTTTTCAAGAGTAGTAAAATCTCACTGCATCTCTGGCTCTCACCAAAGCAGATGAGATTTACTGAATTTGTGTGCCTCAGTGTATGGATGATAAAGATAATGTTTGCCTGCCTTGAGAGCTGCAGAGGAATGATGGTGTTCCCACGAGGATCAACCTTGCTGGGAGCACAAGTGAGGCTTCCCTGGAAATGTGGTACCATTCCAAGTGGAGACTCCGGGGAGAAGTCTGCCAGCAGCCTTTTCATCTTCCCTGCACCCTGATTCATGAATAAACATAGGCAGAGAGGGAGGAGATGAAAAGCAGCCAGGACGGCGTTGCTGTGGATCTTCCCGGGCAGTGCCTATAAATGGCTCCTCTCTTTCGGGGCAGCCCGGGGCTTTAGCAGGTGTTCCCGCGTCTCCCTGAAGGGAAGCAGAGCAGCCCATGGCACCCACGTGCTAAAGCAGCTCCCACTGATTTCAGGTCACATTAACAGCAGATCTGGGGATTTGCTCTGCTCCCTCTGCTGCCGCGGCTCCAAGCGTCAGCCGCGTCTGATCTGCCTTCAAGGGAGGCTGGAATCTGTTTCAATCCCACTGTTACCTACAATTTTAACGCGTACTCCACCTCCCAGAGTTGTGCGAACCGGCACAGGGCTATTGTGTGCAATAGTCTTAAGAATTTTGGCAAGTTAACTTTGAAGAAAATCTCTGGTTAGGCAGTAGTTCCTACTAGCAATTACCAGGCTTTTATCTGTAGCTGTCAGTGCACTGTAAAAAGTGGCAGTTACTCCCATTTTACAGAAGAAGCAGATGTTCTAGGGACATCTGAATAGATTTAATGCAGAAATTGCATGCCTAAAAGGTGTTCTAGAAAATCCCATCATTATCACATGACTGATTTTATTCAATGCACCCAGGAATTCAGATCTGCTGGCTGTGCTTTGCTTATTTGTTTTAAAGCAATAGTTCTGAAGTTTGAATTTTGTTCCCCTGCTGAGGCAGAAGAAGAGCTGGAATAAGACTTTTTTTTTTTTCTCTTTTTTTTTTTTTTCTTCTTTTTAGGCAAACTTTCAGGTATGGATTTATTCAGAATTTCTTGAAGTCTAATTTGGTTTTGTGATCAAGAGGCACAGAAGTCACATTTGTGAAATCCAATTAGGCTCCAGCCCTGGCAGAGACACGACATGAGGCACGTACATCCATCCGAGTCCCTGTGCCTCCCTGCTTCTAAAGCCTTCAGCCTCCATGGCAGAGCTGTGCTTCTTATCTCAGGTATTTGGGATTACTGCAAACTCAATTTACCCACTTGGGAGCTATTAGAGCTGCAGTCCTTCCCTGGGAAACATGGTAGTGACAGGAGAGTGAGCTGAGCACTGCTCTGCTCCAGAGGAGGGATCAGATCAGAATTGGGTAGGGCAGGAGAGGTGCAGATGGATGGATCCAAGAACAATTTCTGGGTGCAGTGGGCACAGAGGGAGGAGGCTGAGCCGTGGCCTTGGCTTTGGCCAGGAATTACAGCCTGCTCTGCCCATCTCTGCTCATTCACCTCCCTGCCTGCAGCTGCAGCTTGTTGGTGCCTTTGCAGAGCACACTGGTTTTTGGATTGAGGGCTTTCCACTACAATGAGCTAAAAGTTGTCAGAGCAAGGAAGAGCTCCCCTGGTGACACTCCCTAGGATCCAGCTCCTGAGCTCAGGGAGGTGGTGGTGCTCCTGGCAGGGTGCCCTTGTCCTCACTCCAGCCCCAGAGCCCTTTCCCTTCTGGCTACAGCAAAAAAAGGAACTTACCTGGAGAGCTGTAATTTCCCTCAGCCACATCAGAAGCTGAATTGCTAATTCCCCCCATGCTCCAGGCAAGTGTCCCGGGCCCAGAACAGCTCCCTGGGAGCAGCCATTGGTGCTGTTCAAAACGTCAGTCAGGATGACTACTGAGTTTTCTTATAAATGAGAACCTGCATTCTTATGAATGTGGTGAAATTACCAGGGCCTTTTCCTCCAGTTTCCTGTAGGTAGGTTAAATTGAGTATCCAAAACACTGGGACAAGCAAGGACAACAAACCTGGTCTGAAACAGACATCGGGGTTTTGCGCCAAACAACCTCTGAGCACAGCAGTAAAACATTTTTTCTGTTATTCTCAGCCAGCCACAGGAGTTTTCCTGTTAGTGAACATTTACTATTGATTTCATTTTTGCCTTTTGTATCATTCTCTGCAGGACTCTAAGTGGAGCAGAGCCTGCAGGACTGTGCTGCTTCAGCATCTGCAGCCAGAATGGGTTAAGCACAGCAGAGTTTAGGCTCAAGGGCTGGACTGCATGCCCAAAGCTGAGCAGAGAAAGGAGTAAGATATAATTGCATTTACACATTTCAGTTAGTACCAGAATTCCTTTTGGTTGCATCTTTCAATTAGCCAAGTAACAAGACAGCCATACTTCAACAGTTAGTGCCTATTTCCTGATCCTCTGTATTTTTATTATTTACAACAGTTCTGCATTTAATTGATGGTGTAATATGGTCTGAGAGTGCCAGGCAGTTCTTAGTGGGCCCCTCTGGTCCTGCTCATGCCATGCCATCAGTGATGAGCAGCTGTCTTTAGTTTGGAACATGTAAGCCCCACAGTGACTAATTACAGCCCCACAGTGACTAATTACAGCCCCTAACGATGGGTCCCCAGTGGCTCAGTCTGGAGATTAAAATGTGCAGCTCAGCCAGGGCCTGAGATCTCCCCTGCCCCTGGAGAACTCCATGCTCCTGCTGTTGTCAGAACAGTGGGGTTGGAAAGGAACAGGGATGCATTACCAGCCTTTGGAGTGAAAATGAAAACATCAGCAGGAACCCCAATACTTTGCTTTTCTTGGATCCTTTCTCTTTCCCATATAAGTGCTGTTATTGTTACATTTCTATTTCAGGCAAGAAACATAATTTTATTTCTTTTTCCATTTCAATCATTTTTAATGAATTCTCTTCACATACAAGAGCAAGGATAGTTCTTGATGATAATAATAATTGGACCACAGGGAAATACTGCCTTGTGGGTAGGTGACAGGCAGGGTACTTGAGAGGAGATGAAGACGTTTCTGATCAGAGTGTAGCTTTTGGAGGTCAAGGTGAAATAGTGACTTATGTGAAACAGCAGCAAAACTACTGATTTTTCATGGTTTGCTTTTAGTCAAGAAGCCTAACAATAAAACCAAAATTCCCCATAGTGTCTGGCTGGAGAAATTGCATTCCTCCTCATCAGGATGAGGGGTCGTTTCAGCAACCTCCCTCATTGGAGCCCTCAGTGAATAATAAGGATTGTGTAGCTGCAGTTCAATGTCTCTATCAACATCCTTCTTAAGGAAGAACACAGCTTATGTGTGCTTTGGAAAAATGCTGGACTAAATTCTCTGGAGTCTTGAGCACTGCTGTAAACAGCATATTATTTGCAATAAAATAACTAAAATAACAGCTGTATTATCTTGTAATAAAATAACTTATCTGAGTGTTGTGAAAGTACCAACCTATAAAATCCATGCCAACATCAGCACAGTTGGTGGAAAAAAATCTAGAATGAGCAATAAATAATCAAGCCACCAGAAAATATGAGCAGAGCCTGGATGGTACAACCTGTGAGCTAGCTGGTATTTTTAGTGTTATCTGAAAAGAATCCCCAGGGAAAGGCAAAGCTGGTTACAGAGGACAAAGGTGAGGCTTTAGTCACTGGTATTTGATTTTTGGTGCACTATCACTGCAAGCAGCCAGGGGAAAGATTTACTAAGGTATTTAGGTACCTAAACATGCCTAGCAGCATTTATAGCAGCATCTAAGTAGGTTAGGTGCCTAATTCCCATTAACTCCACGAACATGTTTAAGCTGCTGAACATCTCTGCAAAGCTGGCCCCAGTGCCTGGCCTGACAGGTGCAGTCTGAACTGGTGTGACTGGGCTCACTCCCCAGGAGTGGGGAGTGCTGGTAACACACAAGGACCAGGAGCACAGAACTCAACAAAGGCTCCCGAGCTGACTTAAATTTTTGCTGCTGGCTTAAAATAGAGCCACACCAAAGTCACTCAGAGCAGCACTTGCAAAAAGGCCACTGAATTTTGGAGCTTGGTTGGGAGTCCTTGAGCTGAGGGTTAAGAATCCCATCAGTTCCCAGAAAATGGAACATTTTACAAGCCAAGCCAGAGCAGCATTTCCTGAGCTCCTGGAGAGTCTTGCCCACAGTCAGCCCTGCACAGCCCAGCCTGTTCTACAACCACAAATATTTTTCTTGAAGGATTTTCCTTTCCTTACCTCAGTGGCACCAGGTACCTCCTGAGTGTCAGAAATGAACCAAACCATTCCTAAAGCAGTCTGTTACAAGAGGCTTTTCAACAGATGGAGAATGTTATGTGGGGCAGATTCATTATAATATAAAGGTGTAGTTTTATTAACTTAAAGGCTGTCACATGCACTTTAGTATCTTTTCTACTTAATTTTTAAAATTTAGGAATAAAAATGAAAATTTGCTGTTTACAGTGCTGCATATGTTGAAAGCTGCTCTTTACAAATTCTGTTCCAAGTTATACTAGAACCATTTTCTCAAATATACACAGTTCAGCCTAAGCAAAATAATTTTCACAAAACTATTTCACATAAAGGAAGAGATAAGGGGAGATCAAGAGAAATAACCTAGGAAACAAGTATACCAGTGTACAAAAATAGATTGGAACATTTGGAGATTGTAGGTAAGAAAATGTATTCTCAACCCCAGAGAATGTGAACGGGTGGATTATCTGAGGAGAGAAACGCTCACTGGAGCAGCTGAAGAGATGCAGAGATCTATTTCTAACATCTTTAATTTCTAGGCAAGTTTATAAGAGAGAGAGAGAGGAAGAGGCTCCAGGTTTGTGTCACACTGGGGTCTGTGGGAGGTGGCAGTGAGAGGAGCAGGCAGATTGTCCCCATGCACAGCAGGCTGCACACTCTGAGGGTGTGGGTAGGGAAGGGCAGCACGTGCAGAGCTGTCCCCCAGCACAAGGACAGCTCTAAGCTGCTCCCCGTGGAGCCCCTGCTCGTGCAGAGCCTGCCTGAGCCACAGTCCCCATCCCTAAAAAGCTGCTCCCCTCTGGAGCACCCAGCTGGCTGACACAGCCACCAGGCTGCAAGAGGCAAGTGGTGGCTCAAACCTCTCCTGAGCACAACTGGGGAGTGGAATCTGTGTGCAGGCTGGATACCCCTGAAGTATGAACAGAAAGTGCTGTCACAGAGCATCCAAGTTACTACTACAGCAAATACCACAAGGAATTCAGATGACATATCTTCTGTAGGTCATGAGTCTGTGCCAATCTGAGAAAAGGGATTTAAATAAAAATGATTCTGGAGTGTCCAAGTCTGAAACTGAAGCACATGCTCTGTCCCTTTGGCCTGAGCTCTCTGGAAGCACAAAGGAGTCTGTGGAGCATGCAGGAACCACTGGAGCAAATATGGCTAAACCATTCATGTGTTATTCCTAGGAGAAGTTTTCTTAGAAATGTAAGTTACTGTGGGTCTGCTGAGCAAGCTTTTTTCCCCTAATCCACACCACCTGTGTAGATTCACAGATAATTTGGGTCTGACCTAGTTGAAAGTACAAAACAAATTTTTCCTATTTGCTTATTCAATATATTCTGACATCTACTTCCTGCAAAGCCTGTAAAGGCCTCTTTTGTGAGCTTCAGGAAGAACAGTTGGTGATGTGCTCTCCAGATCTCTGGCCAAGTGCAGGAGATTACTGGGCTGCTATTCAGAGGCCTGACTTGGATTTCAAAAAAAGGTGAATTATTTTGGTTCAAAAGGATCAACTGTTCCAGTGAGCCTGACCTGGCACAGCTCTGCACTGCTGAGGACAGAGAGCATGGTCAAGGCACCAGAACTGAGAGTGAGTCTGGTTTTGATTGTCATTCCTCAGAGGACAAGGATTCTTGACTCCAGTGCCACACCTGCTGAATGCCAATGCCAGACCTCAAAAAATGTGACTGCAGCCTGTGCCTTCCTCACACTGCCACAATCCCCTTCTCCCTCCTGGACTGAAGCAGAGATAAAGATTTCCTTTGGCATACCATCCATCAGTGCTTCTGCAGGTTCAGGTGTGTCTCATTCATCAGTAACACCCACCATTATATACACAACACACATATAAAGAGCCTCCAGAAAAATGTAGCACAGAATCATACATTTGACAAAGCTGACATGAGACATTGTGCTGTGAATAATGAGATTTAAAATATCCTGTGCTATTGAGGTACACAGAAACCTGTTCATTTAACTTGCACTAGCACCCCCCATAATTTTCTTTATCCTCTTTAAAACATCACCGATGTGTACAAAATGATTTTGTTCTACTTAAAAGACCAGTTCTGAGGAGGTGACTGACTTCTGCTGATCCTGGAGGTGGTTTCACAGGTTTCATTGTACTTGAAACTTCACAGCTTCCACTGAAGTATTTGATGTGTGTTTGTATCAGTTTAGCAGAGTACAAAAGTAGAATAATTTTCATATTGCCTCATATTTTTGTCAGACTATGATGTCCTCTATGAAAACTTTCTTTTTACTTGACAACTTATCAAAGACACATTTTCTAAAGCTCAACAACCAATCTTAGTGAGTATTTGTTTAAAAAGTCATCAGGGCTCCAATATTTGTAATAAATCACTAAATTTCCAGTAGCAAAACTTATTTGAAGATTTCTCCCACAGAAATAAGAATTTTCAGTTCAGTCATCTCCATTATTCTCACTAGCACTGGCTCAAAAACCCCACCTCACTTTGCATCTCAGTCAACCATCAGCTGGAATCTACCACCAGTGGTCCCATCTTAAATCTCATGTTGCTCAGAGCTGTGAAAATTTCAGCTGACCTGGAAAATTCAGCTTCAGGTCAGGGAAATTATGCGTCTGTAGAGAAATCATGTAAAGATGGGACTGGGCCCTGAGGTGAGATCCCTGCCACACCAAAATGGGGCAAATCAAGGACTCCTGTGGCACCTGCATCCTTTGTAGCACACATCAACAAACCCATCTCAAAACCAGCAGAACTTTGTCCAGCTTGCTGAGGAGAAATGTCACCAGGTACTACTACATCACACTAGAAAGCAGGTAGACTAAAACCTGTGCATGTGCTCACTAAGGGACTAAAACCAGACAAACTACTCTCTGTCCACAGCTGTCCTCAGCTCCTGGGCCCGGGAAGGTCTCTGATGCCATCCTCCTCCTCGGAGCACAGCAAGCTCAGAGCGCTCGTGACAGGATGGATCCAGGACGTTGTCTGCGTCACGTGGCTAAAAACCAACAAGAAATGCCATCAGCAACCCAAAAGAGGCTTACCCATCCCAAAACAAGGAATTCCAGGTGGAGTCTGGAGTTGTAACAACCATTATGACACCTTCAAACACAGAACTGTCTTTTTCTTGCTAACTGCAAGATTTTTAAAAACAAAATGTGGAGTCTTCAGAGAGCCAGAACCTGGACTGGAGGTTCCAATTCCCAATGCAATAAAGAGAATTCTTTTGTATGAGACTCCTGACACAGACTGGTGACATTTCTTGTTAATTACTGGAGCTGCAGACAATTCACACAGCAGGATATTAACATGGCCATCTCACTGGTTACAGCCTGAGGGAGGCAGGGTGGTCAAGAGGAAGTTGAGCAAAGGTGGGATCACATTGTAAAACACACTCAGCTCTTCAGAACACGAACCCTGGAAGTGTCCAGGGTCAGGCTGGCTGGGGCTTGGAGCAGTCTGGGAGAGTGGAAGGAGCCCCTGTCCATGGCAGGGGGGGGAATGAGGGGGTATTTAAGATCATTTCTACCCAAACAACTCCTTGATTACTATTCTAGCATCATTAACTAATTTCTCTTCTTGCAGAAAGAATAAAAAATAAAAAAAATGTTTTTTACATGTCCTCTAGCCTAAATTCTGGACATGCTCCCACAGTCTTTACCCACACAATAAAAGGCCACCCATGCTGATTTTTAAGGTTTAAACCCTACACTTGACATGCAGGCTAAGCTGCTTTATAGCCTCTGGAAAGCTTCTGTGTGAATGGAAAGAGCCCAAGCAGGGCTCAGTAAGGACAGACACATGGACAGGTTTGGAGTGTGTGGTGAGAACACTGCACACCTTGTGAGTGGTGTGTGCATGTGAGCCATGCTGTGCGTGGGCAGCACACTGCCTCTTCTCCCTTCTGGAATAATGTGTTCTTGGGAAAGGAAATAGCTTCTTTTCACTTGGAAAAAAAAATCTTGCTAATAAATTCACAGCTTTTATAGTAAAGTCAGTGCAAAGATTAATTTTGTAATATAAGTTCACTACAAGAACAAGCTGAAAAATATTGTAGGTATAATAAATGCCACAAAGGACAAATGGCTCTTCTCACACGTCCTAACAGTGTCCCTAAAGCCCAGGTCTGTATTCACTTTCCAGGTGCATTGGTTTAATTAAATTTGAAGGAACTACTCTGGATTTACCTTTTCAAGTGAGAACAGGTTTTGTCTTTCTCAGTGTGAGAACACTCCCTTGAATAACTGATTGCAGGAACAGATACATTGAAGTAGGAATTTGAGTCAATGTTCCACCACACTGAGTGATGGGTTTGAGATCACTGTTCTCATCACCATGGTCATACTATTCACACCTTTCAGCTGAGTGCACTGAGCTTAGAATCAGCTGGGTGTGATGAGGATGATACTGTTCACCAAGAGGTAAATATAATCCTAATGTAAATCCCTGCTCTGAACAGGTAACCCGTGCATTCAGGCACTACTTCAGCTGAGGCAACGCCTGAGCAAGGACCACACAAGGAAGACAAAGGGGAACACAAAGGCCATACCCTCTATTCTCATACATAAAATAACAAAAAACCAAAAAAAAAAAACCAAAAAAACAAAACAAAAAAAAACCAAACCAAAACAAAAAAAAAATCAAACCCCAAAGCTCAAGTTAGATGTAAAACCAATTCAGAAATGTTCTTTTGGTGGGAGCAGGACTGGATGGACTCCATTCCTTCTTTTGTTACAAAAATAGGCATTACTGGGGTTGTAGGATCAGTTTCACAGGAGTTAAAACAAAAGGAAAAATGAAAAACACGTTCCGACAGAAAATACACTGATCAGACAATGATCACTCTTAAGGACAGTAATTCTTTCATTCTAAGAAAGCAAATGTACTTTTTTTACTAGGAATAAGAGCAACTTGCCAAACATTTCCAATGTTTACCTGTAGAAAGTCAGGTGACAGCCAACATGAAGAGTTGTTTTACAATGTTTCATGAGAGACTTGGTAATAAAGTCTGTGCAACCAAGAACACTGTTCCCATTATTCCACAACATAGGGAAATGTATGCATTCATATTTATATTATGAGTACATTTACATTTGTAAATATACTCAGAAAAATATCTTTGCTGCATATTTGTGCAATGTTTTCTACAATGTCAGGAAATGCCTTGTTTCCCAATTAATTGATTCAGTCAATAAGGTTTAGTTTTGGAGATATGCTCCAAACTGAAGTCCCAGCATGTGATTTATTGGTATAAAACACAGAACTTCTTCCAATACCTGCGGAATTATGGGAGCTGAATGAACTGGATTCCATCCATTCCACCTCTGCCAATGCAAGACTTCTGCCTCCAGCACTATTTTAAGTGTTTATATTGCCTACTTTCATCAAACCATTTCTGAGCAATCCACTGCTGAATTTAAACAAGAACAAAATGATTTTAGAATATTTTTCTTTTTCCCATTTTGTTTCCTCATGTAGCATGCCCTGACCTGCTGTGTACCTGAAGCCCTGGCTCCATTTTCTCCTGAGCATGCAGCATCACCCCTGTGAAATGGGAGAGACTGCACAGGAGTAAAGAGTTACATGGAAAGGCATCCACAGATCTTTGACGTATCCAACTAAAAATTCTTTGTAAAGTGTTTCTTCTTCAGAAGATCTTTCTCCTACATTCTTCAGGGCCAGGAGGCAAATGACAGCATGCCCAACTTCCTGCTACTGCTGTAAGAACTTCAGTCTGCTCTCACACAAATTAAATGCACAAAATTCCCAGATCTTTAACACTGCAAAACTGTGGCACTGAAATCTGGGTTACCTTTCTCTGTATTTGATGGCATAAGATTGTTTCATCACTGTTAAGAAAGAAAAGAACCAGTTTTCATTTGTTTTCGAGACACGTGGGGCCAAGTTTTGCTCTGTTGTCAAGCTGCTGCTGCAAGCACTTCTGGTTTGAACCCAGCTCCTTTCAATTTGCTCTAGACTTTATCCCATGGGTGATTCTCTTAAGACAGTTTGGTTTAAACCCTTTGCCAAAATCCTTCCTAGGAAAAGAGCTCTTATAAATAAACATTAAGTCCAGATACCACGTCTCACATTGTAGACAGACACACACAATACGTGCAGATTATTTAGGTAGAGAATAAATGTATAAACCCTGCTGCTGTTTATTTTTAGCTCTCCAAAAGTGCTGTGACTAAAGAGCTTTGACATAATCAGTCCGAAGAGATAATCCCAGATTTACTGGTTTGGAGAACATTCTTGCATTAGAAATACATCCTCTCTGATTTGTGTGTTAGGGCCAGCAATAAAAAGTGAGAGGGAGTCCAAATCTACCTCTAGGTTTTGCTTAACTGATTTGAATATTAAAGGAATATTTGGAAAGCCAGCATTACAAAGTTTAAATGTACAACATTTTCCATTTGCAAATGTTCCTGTTCAAAAGTCTAATTTAACATTTTCAGAGCAATTAGCAACATTTAAAGATTTTTAGGTTTTCAAACAAATCACTGCTATCGGAGGGCAGCCAAATTTATTGCTAGAAAACAGAAACATTTGATCTGGAAATATGTCAGTAGATTAGTCTGTCTTTTTAACATTAGCAAACTGCAGGACAAATTTCAGAGCTTGGGAAAACAAAACATGAGAACAGAGGGATGTTTTGGCAAAGAAATAGTAGTGGATTATTTCAAATGCCATTATAATTACTCTCCTTATGGCTGTTCCTTCTTCACATGGAAAATTATTTCTTTTAAAACTACAACCTCAGACAATCTTTTAAGAAAAGAATAACTCAAAAATTCAGAGGTAAGCTAATGGAAAAAATATCTGCTCTTTTCTTTTTTAGATTTTAAGCATTATCAAGACACCTTTTTCACCTTAAACTGTGATCTCCAGCCAGGGCCAAAATCTGGAGCCTAACAGGGAACTGTGAAGTCTTGCAGACACCACAGGTGCTGTGGGTCTCAGTGCAGGATGTTGCCCCACAAACCTGACATGCATTACTGCAAGTTGCTTTTTCCCCCCTTTTGCCATGGAATGACGTTCACACCACCTGGCTCAATGCTCCAGGGCTCCTGGGCTTTAAAAGGAGCCACCTTGTGCAAGACCCACTTGTTTGAGATCATTTCAGGAGAGGAGATGCCGCCTCAAGCAATTACCCTGTCAAACTCTCCTAATGAACAGGCACCATTACTCATGAGGGCCCAAAAAGGATTTAGCTGTAACTGAACTTAAAATGCCAAATTCTGGCCTCAGATGAGCCCTGTTCTTCTCTACTAAACTGAGAAGTACGGAAGATGAAAGTGAAACTCTGCTCACGTAAAACAACACAAACCACACGTTTTCCTCCTTAATGAGCATACCCCATAAACTAAATCCATGTAATCCATAGTAGTAATTTCACTGAACTTTTAATCTGCCCTTACTTTTTGATTTCTCAATCTTCATTAGCCCTTTAACATACAAGAGTGCTCAGCTGAAGGACACTGATGCTTGATGAAGCTGTTCCTGATCTCTGCACAAAAGCTTGGTGGCCCCCAGTGCTGCTGAGAGCCAGGGACACTGCACTCCCTGAGAGCTTCCCCCTTTGGTGCTTTCACTGCTGCTACTGCAACAATCATTAAAAAATGCAGCAAACAGCACTGCTAGATGTAGTTGCAATGGATTTGAAGGGGACATGCTCTACACTACCCAGAAATATATTCCACATTGTGCTTTGGTAGTTTCCAGACTTGCATGCATCTCCCAGAGGGAAGGGCTGGAGTTGTTGTGAAAGGAGCGTGTGCCATCTGCCAGAGGGCAGGGAACACCAACTCCTCACTCCCTCCTTACCCACTGGCATGCAAGCACTGCTGGCTTGGAGGCTAATGAGGGCCAGAGCTACAGGAAAATAAAGAACAATGCCTCTGAATGAAGATTCTGCAGCTTAATCCTTCATGCAGAGGCTCTGCCATCCTCCCTGCCTGCTCTAGCACAGGCTCTGTGTCGCTCTGTGCTGGACTC